GTGGAGTACGGCTCTGCTCTGAGACACGTGGAGTTGCCCCGCGTCAGAGTCAGAAATGACTCAATGGCAACTTTTTTTCAAGTCTCAGAATTCAGACGGCCTTTCTAAGAGGTGGAATGTGACAGACACACCAAAAAGAGGTGTGTTGCTGGGAAGTAAGTCTTCAGAAACCTTCCATCATTGGAGAACAGGGTCAGAACTCTCAGGCAAGGAGAGCATGGTGCTTAGCACCTGGGAGCCAGCGGGGTGGTGGTGTAGGGAAGGGAGCGAGGAGGCGGACGAGCACAAAGGCTGGCCATGCGTGGTCACTGCCACAGCAGGTTCAGCAGGTTTGGAGCCCTCCCAAACTGTGGCGAGGTGCCTCCTTGGCAGCTTTCCCAGTCAGCTGTGGTCCACTCCAGATGTGAAGGAACCCCTTGTTCATCCTTAACCACTGCACTGCTGTTGAGCTGAGAGTCCTGGGCACCCCAAAGGACAGGGTCCATCTGCCCCCTGTGGTTTCCAGGGCTGTCAGTCATTATGGAGCAGACTGCCCTGCCTTTCCTCCTGTGGAGCAGCTGGTGGGTTTGAACCACTGACTTTTCAGGTAGCGGCCTAGTGCTAGTTTCAGCCACCTGGGCTCCTCAGTTCTTCCTAGTTCTTCACTCATTTGTCGCTCACCTGAGCAGATCGTTTTGCTCTCCAGCTGTGTTTCTCATCTGTTGAGGCTCTCTCCCTGTCGCGTCCTCCGTCTCATCCTCTGTTCTCATCCTCTGTTCAGCCACAGATTAACTGCCCCAGGCCGTCTCTTCCCCCCTGACCTCTTGGTGTGTTGTTTACTGAACCTCCTGTCGGGACATGACCTTGACAGTAGATGTTGCATGCAAGCTTCTGTCCCTCTTTCTCCTCTGTGTCGGCCAAACAGAACCCCCCCTTCTCGTCCTGAGCCTGTGCCGTTTTTCTGCAAGAGCCCAGGATGTCGGGTCAGGGGATTTGAATTCATGTCCAGACTTGTTCCTGTACTGGCTGTGTGATCACTGCTTTTCTCATTATTATCTCTCTGGTTTGTTCCATTTTGTACTTTAAACGAGAGAAGGGAAATAAAGAAGTGACAAAGGTCATGATGTCTTAGTGGAACCCACGATATCAACTGTGCAGTTGGACAGAACGGGTGTGGGCATGTGAGCTAGCGCACCTTCCCAGAAAGAGCCATCGTATCTTTGCCAGGTGGTCTCCATTCCTATTCTTTAAGGAACTAGCACGTATTTACCAGCTTTTTAAATAATTTTCCAAATTCTGAGGCTGTCAACCTTTGTCTCTAGCACTCTGTATGTTGTGGTAAAGGTGTCCATTCACATGTTTATCTCCCTGTAAGACTATACATAAGACTGTATTCCCAGCATGTAGTAAAATTCCTTCAGTGTGTCAGGGTCCAGGTGACTGGCATAGACACCATTCTCTCCCACCCCACTCCCAGCCCAGTGAACACCACTGCATTTAAAATATAATCATTCTAAAAATAGGATGATTGACGTGTAATTCCAGGAAACACATCTGTTGCTTCAAGTGACATGCACTGTCCAGGCAAACTCCCTGCCCACAGTTAAGAAATGAACACTTCAGTGGAGGACAGTGAGTGATCCAGAGAATCACCTTCTGGATTCTCCGCCAGTGTGTGAAGTAGAAGCATGGCCATCTCTGGATTTTATTTTATTTTTCTGTGTTATAGTATTTTTAAAAAGTGCAAAACATTTTTTAAAATATTTATTTCATTTCTGTATAGGTAAAATTTACGATTTACAACTTTAAAACAGTGTAGGAAGAGATGTAATGGAAGGTCTCCCGACTGCTGTCTCCTGTCCCCTGTGTTTTGCCCATGCCAAATGGATAACCGTTGTTACTGTCTGAGAGTTTAACATCAGAGCTTACATCATGGTGATTGCAATCAGTGTCACAAAACAAAATATATGTGGATTGTTCATTGGAAACCAATTTGCTCTGTAAACTTTCACCCAAATCACAAAACTAAAATAAAATCAGGCGCATTTGGGGTGTGTGAATAGGGCAGTCTGAAAACAGAGCCTTAACTCCATCTTTAAAGCCTTGAAAGGAGTCTAGAATCCATGGCAAATTTTCAGGCTGTCTTTTCTGACAGCACTTCTCAAACCTTGATGCTGACTGCGAACCCTAAAGGAGACATGCTTTTCTGCTGAGGTCTGGCAGGTGTGGGGCATCATGCCAGTTCCCTGAGGGTCTTTCCTCTGTGGTCATACACAAGACATCCTAGCTTATACCTGAAGGGCCTGGCTGTGCGGCATTATCCATAAAGCTTTTCAGGGGTCCCCCAGAAACTGATAGGACTGAGAAAGCAGTTTTAATAGCAGGTAACCAGAAACACCAGTCCTGCCGCTGTCCTGTGACCATCCTGTAATAAACTGAAGAGCCGTACCCTTAACCAATCATGTGATCCCACTGAGTGTGTCATTCTCCCATCCCTGCTATCTCTGCCCTTAGCTTTCCCGCCTGACTCCCCTCATTCTCTTTCAGCCAGTTACAGTTTGTAGCTTTTGTTCCCGCTTCAGTTCCTGTTCTCTTCTTCATTGTCCAGTGTAGCACCATCTTCATTCTGTGAATTTGAACATCTTCCCGGCCCAGACCGTCTCTGGACTTTGAATAAATCTCTTAATTTTACTATTACAGCATGTCTTTTCCCTCTTGGGGAGCTATTATTTTCTTATGTAACAACAGGGAGATACTTTCTTTGCATATATAAGTGAATATGAATATTATTTTTTTCCTTTTTTTTTTTTTTAATGTGGTAGAGATCTGTCTGTGTTTCCCACATTGTTCCATGTCAGAGCTTGAAGAGCTTGCTCATGTGGGAAAGCAACTGCTGGGCATTTCCTTGCCTGGATACTCCCAAGGTCATTTTACAGGTCTCCTGCTGGTAGGCATTCAATTTAGGTGGTTGCCAGTGTTGTGCTATTAATATTAAGATCATGCTCTGGTGGCGTAGGGCCTAAGGCATTTGACTGCTAACCAGAAGGCTGGTGGTTTAAACCCACCAGCCACTCCTCAGAAAGAAGGTAGGGCAATCTACTTCGTACTGATACTGCCTCGGAAACCCAAGGAGGGGTCGCTATGAGTCGGGTCCGACTCGACAGCAGTGAGTTTGGTTTGGTTTTGAGAGTACATGACCATGCGAATCATATTTTACGTCTGTCTAAGCAGACTGGCAGGGTAAATCTAGAAATGAAATTGTTGAGACAAAGGAAAAGTATCAATTTAGTATGTTTGATTCTATAGATAATTTAAGTAAAATAAACACTACTACAGTTTTCACATTGCAGATTTACCTCATTCAGATTCAGAGATGACTTGGCTGTTTAATCATGGAATTTGGTATATTTGGTAGGCTGAAAAAGGGATGTGTCCATTGTTTAGGAAGATCTGTACTGGACCAAAGCAAAAACAAAAATCAGTCAAGCAAATCCAAAGCAGACATTATTGCTGAACCCGGAATTTTGGACCAACAGAAGTTAGTGGTGTCCATGGTTTGAGGACATAGGAGTTTAATCTCTTTCATTATTTAAAACCTTAGTCACATGTTTGCTTATTATTGCTGAGCTGGGGGATTACATTGATGCACTAAGCTGTACGGTACCAAATGTAATCTAAGGATTAGTGAAAATCAAATCTCCCGTGCATTTGACCTTGAAAGTGGGATTGGCTGTCCTCTGTGGTTGACCTTCCTTTGCTACAATGACTCAAGTGTGCTAGCCATCCTAGGGGTACCCACTGCCCCTTACCACCCCCAGGAAGATCAGGTGGTAGCACAGGTATTGGAATACAAAGCTCCAAGTTAGGAACAAGTATAAGTATTAGACAACTGTGTCAAGGTTTCCTAGATAGCGTGCATTCCTTTGCAGTGTATCTGTACTGGTCATGTCCTTCCCTTTCAGTGTGTAGTCCTGTGTACAGGTGATGCTATCTTGAGTACCTTTTCCACGCTAGTGTTCTCTTTCTTTGAGCGTAGGCATCTGTGATCTTCAGGGACACAGTCCTCTTACTCTTAACCCACAGTCACTCAAGCACTATCTGTGTGCTTCCTGTACCACCCAGCCATATGGGAGAGACACCAACATGTGCGAAACGGTACACTGATGTCCAGGACTGGAAGCTCTCACATTGTATGTACCTAGTAATAACTGATCGTTGAATAAAGACACAGATTTGACCTGAAAAGGTCCATGTTCTGGTGGAGGAAATGCCAGGTTTCCCCGAATGGTTTTGGTAGAGTTGTATATAAGGTGTGTTGTGAGTATCAAGGTGGGTGGAATTGATTCCTGCACCCCTGCAGCTCCACTGAGGAAAGGGATGAGTGCATAGAGAGAGTGGAGTATAATGCGATTGGTTGCATCTTAAAAGGAGCCTTGACTCATCATTACAGCATCACAGGTAGAGAAGAGAGTGTTAGTGCAGATGCACATAAGTGTGTCCTTGGTAGGTGTGTCACATGTGAGTAGGGGAGGGAGGGAGGCTGAGGGAAGGTGGAAGCGGACCTTTTGGTTCCATCTTACAGGTCAATACTTGATTTTACTGGCCTTGGAGAGCCAGGCAAGGTTGATAAATAGGACTGTCGGTGCTGGGTGACAGTGAGCCAAGAACGCTTTCTGCCTTGTTCTTTGCTGTTTGATCAGCCTTTCTCTGGGATTCCAGAAGGCCCCAAGGAGTGGATTTTTTATTTTCATTTTTGTCTTTGTTGCCTCATCCATTGTTCCCCTCCATTTGCAAGGGCAATTGAGATTTGACTTTGCAGAGCCGTGATACATGCATTTTTCCCACTGTACTTGTGAAGAGTTATTGATAAAAGGGGAAATGTGTCATTACTTGGAAAAAATGTAGCAATTTAATAGCCCATCGTGCTGTATTTGATTTCATGCTACACTAGAGCCTACCAGAACTCCCAAGCTCTGCAGTTGTATGTCACCCACCTCATGCCTGTCTCTTTCCCTCCACAGAAATAGAAAAGTTTCAAAAAGGAGAAAGCAAGGAAGAAGAAAAGTACATTGATGTGGTGATTAATAAGAACATGAAGCTGGGACAGAAAGTATTAATTCCTGTAAAACAGTTCCCTAAGGTAAGACAGTGAGGACTACACTGCAGGTGTGTCAAACTTATCTCAGGGGAGCAGATATTTAATTTCTGTTGTTTGATATTTTCTAGACTTGTTTTCCCTGAGCGTAAGCAATCTCCCCCCTTTAAAGTGAATTACAAACTGATTTACTGTATTTTCATGCAAATAACATGTTACATGTTTTTGCCAGCCACACAACTCACACGCACCCTGCTGTTTTCGTAAGTGTGCTATTTCAAGCTCTGTATCTGGGCCTGTTATGTACGTGGGCATGTTGTTTGCGAGAAAATGCAGTAGTCATTCGGTCTTTCGTGTTTGACTTTAGTGTGAGTAATGGAGCCTTCAAGTATTATGCTTCTGAGTGAGTCTTACTGCCTGACGTGAGGCTTCTCCCCACCTTTGTTTCCTCGTTGATAAAATGACTTGGGATTGTTAACAAATAAGATTATTTAAGTTAAATACTCAGCACAGTGCTTGGCACATAAATACTGAAAAAGTACCTATTCTAATTTTGTTTACATCTTATAATTTTTCCTTCTTTGTCTCATTTGAGTGTCCATATACACGACTCATGCATGTATTCACGCATATTGTATCAGTAGTTCATTTAAAAAACCCATTTTAGCCATAGTCCATTATGTTAATATACCACAGTTTGCTTATCCATTTGCCTCTACTGTTTGCAGTTCTGGGGCTTTGTAAATTAACTACTGTGACCATTTTGTAGAAGTCTTTTGTGGCCATGTTTTCTTTCCTCTTGGCTAAATGCCTAGGAGTGAAATGGTTGTATATTTAGTTATACAAGAAACTGCCACACCTTTTTCCCGAGTTGGTTGTAGGAGGTTTCAATTCCATGAACAATGCATGCACGTTGTGGTTTCTTCACATTTTTATCAGTGTTTGTTGTTACCAGTCTTTTTAAATTTGGCCGCTCTGATGTACGTTGGTGTCTTGTGGTGGTGGTAATTTGCATTTCCCTGATGATTAATAATTTCATGTACTTTTTCCAGTGTTATTGGCCATTCATATGTCCTCGGCTCCAAGGTGTCCCTTCAGGTCTTTCGCTCGTTTCTGAATGGGCTGGGTGTCTTTTCATTATTGAACTGTAGGAACTTATTATGTATTGTGGATACATTCCTCTCTTTTGTCATGTATACCTTTTGGGGATGTTTGCCCAGGTTATGGCTTGCCTATACTTTTTTTTTTTTTAACAGCCTTGTAATATGCAGAAGTTTCAAATTTTGATGAAGTCAAATGTGTCAGGTTTTTCTCTTATAGTCATTGCCTTCTGTGAGCGAAAGTATCTTTTTTCTTGCATTAGTTTGTATCAGATTGGTGTTATTTCTTACTAAATATTCAAAAGAATTCATCACAGAAGTCATCTGGGCCAGAGTTTGATAATGAATTTAATATCTTTAATTGATACAGTACGAAGGATGTCATTGCTGATGTCAGATGGATCTTAGCTGAAAGCAGAGAATACCAGAAAGGTGTTTACTTGTGTTTCATTGACTATGCAAAAGCATTTAAATGTGTGGGTCATAACAAATTATGGATAACGTTGAGAAGAATGGGAATTCCAGAACACTTAGTTGTGCTCATGAGGAGCCTGTACGTAGACCAGGAGGCTGTCGTTCAAACAGAACAAGGGGTACTGCATGGTTTAAAATCAGGAAGGGAGTGTGTCAGAGTTGTATCCTTTCACCGTGCTTATTCAGTCTGTATGCTGAGCAAATAAACCCACAGACTGGACTATATGAAGAAGAACACAGCATCAGGGTTGGAGGAAGACTCGTTAATAACCTGTGATATGCAGTCAATCAGCCTTGCTTACAGGTAAAGATCAAAGACTACAGGCTTCAGTATGGGTTACACCTCAACCTAAAGAAAACGAAAATCCTCACAACTGAACCAATAATTAACATACCAGTAAATGGAGAAAAGGTTGAAGCTGTTAGGGATTTCATATTACTTGGATCCACGATCAACACCCATGGAAGCAGCAGTCAGGAAGTCAGACAGTGTATTACACTGGGCAAATCTGGTGCAAAAGACCTCTTTAAAATGGTAAGGAGCAAAGATGTCACTTTGAAGACTAAGGTGCGCCTAACCCAAACCAAGGAGCTCTGGTAGCATAGTGCCTAAGGCACTTGACTGCTAACCAGAAGGCTGGCAGTTCAAACCTACCAGCCACTCCTCGGAAGGAAGATGGGGCAATCTACTTCCTCCATAGTGATACTGCCTCAGAAACCCAAGGAGGGGTCGCTATGAGTTGGGTCCAACTCGAGGGCATATAACAACAACAACAATAAACCCAAACCATGATATTTTCAGTCACCTCATATGCATGTGAAAGCTGGACAATGAATAAGAAAGATCAAAGAAGAGTTGATGCTTTTGAGTTGTGGTGTTGATGAAGAATACTGAAAATACCGTGGGCTGCCAGAAGAAAGAACAAACCTGCCCTGGAAGAAGTGCGGTCAGGATGTTCTTGGAAGTAAGAGTGGCCGGACTTCGTCTCTCCTACTTTGGTCAGATTGTCAGAAGGGACCATTCCTTGGACAAGGATATCACCACGCTTGGTAAAGAAGAGTGTCAGCAAAAAAGGGGGAGACCCTCAATTAGATGGATTGACACAGTGGCTGCAAGGATGGGCTCAAGTATAGTAAGGATTGTGGGGCTGGTGCGGGACCGGGCAGTGTTTTGTGGGACCGGGCAGTGTTTTGTTCTGTTGTACAAAGGGTCACTGTGAGTTGGAACTGACTTGACAGCACCAAACAACAACAATTGATAAGCGGTTAATCAGATTTTGTGCTTCCCTTTGGTGAATATTTTTAGTTGTGTTGTTCAGGATATTTCACCACTTCATCATCATAATTCAGCTGTTGCCTCTTCAAACACTTTCTCTTTTCTGACCCTTATTTCTTTTGAAATATCAGAGGTTCCTGTGATGGTTCACTTTTCATTAGGTTTTTTCTTTTTCTTTTTATTCTGTTCTTTAGGTTGGATAATTTCTACTGCTGTATCTTTAAGGTTGTTGAGTCTTTCCTATGGCACCTCTATTTTATTGTTAAGGCTAAGATACCATTTTTTTTTTATGCTTTGTGTTGTAATTTTGGGTTTCAGAATTTACATGTGATTTATATGTACATACATGCACATATAATCTCCTGCTGAGATTTTCTGTTTTTCACCCATTGCAAGGGTTATTTTTCTTTATGTCATTGAGCACAGTTACAACGGATGCTTTAAAGCCCTCCCTACTAATTCCAAAATCTTTGTCATCTCGGATTTGGCCCGCATTGATGGTCTTTTCTCTTAGTAAGGAGTTGTATTAGTCTAGTTCTTCGCATGTTGAGTTAGTTTGGATTATGTAGTGTGAATGTTACATTGTGGAAACTCTGGATTCTGTGATATTTCTCTGTAGAATGTTGATACTTTGTTTTGGCAGCCAGTTAACTTTGTTGGATTCGAACTGCAAACTTTGTCCGTTGTTCACATTTCAGTTCAGGTCTGTCCTTGAGTTTGGCTTGTGACTTTATTTATTTTGTGCATGTGAGATTCAGGGGTCATCCAGAGATTTTGGCAGATTTTATACATAAAATGTGGGCCTCCACAGCTCTGGCTCTATCTTTTTTAGTATTTCTCTCCAACATTTCAAAGGTATTTTGCTTGCCCCAGATTCTGTTAGTAAATCTACCCCAGGCCACTCCCTTCTTCCAAGTCTCAACTCTTTTCTCAGAATCTACCTGTTTTTGATCACTCTCCAGAAACTTCCCGTAGTTAATTTTTATATTTTGTTCACAGATTATAGTTGTTATCTATGCGTGGTTTATCTGTTAGGAGCTTACTCAGCCATGCTTGCAGAATTGGTGACATACATCTTAAGTAAACAGAAGCTTCCGAATGAATACCTCATAGGCATGTTCATAATTAAGCGCATCACGACTTGCGAAGATCTTTATAGATTGCTTGTCCGTGCTCATTGTGCTCTGTGTGGTCAGTGTGTTGGGAAGGAAGCAGGCACTGAATGATATGGTAGGTGATGGTTAACACTGTGTTGTGTGTGGGTAAATATATGAAATAAACATGAAATACATCAACAAAATGCGTAAAATATAATCACAAATCCTGCTTCTCAGTGTCAGCTTTGATAAGGAAGTGGGAGATGTGCTCACTTGAGTCTAACAGAGCAGAGTTCATTTCAAGTCCTTGTAACTTCTGAAGTAGGGTGCTTAGAAACCTCCTGCTCCCAGAGTGCCGAGGAAGCTATTTCTGCTTATAATTGAGCACCCAGGTGTCAAGCCAGCCTCGTATGAAAGCACTGTCACCCCTCCTGCGGCAGAGCTTCCACACTTACGTCAGTTAATGGGCTGAGCTGGAGGCCGCTGGCAGGGCCTGGCCCTCTAGGTGGCAGTGAGCAGCATCCACTTGGCGGGATGGATGCTGACCATACACTTTCAGCCTCTGGTCAGGAGGGAACTGCCGTTAGTGAAACTCCAGCTAATAAAGTGATGTCCACTAATTGAATAATTTTTCTTCTCTTAATGACCTGTGTTCAGCACTTTTTCAGTGGTGCAGCATTGAGCATAATCTGGGTCTTTTCATATCCAACCTTAAAGTGCACCTACTCTCTCGAGTGAGGAATCTCAGCTTACAAAGCATAAAAGTCAGAGAAAACACTGTTTGATGTTTTTAAGTTTATAAGCTCCTGAAATTATTTGTCTCAGTTTTCCTGCTGATACGCCGTAATCCTTGGCAGTAGGTAGTACCTAGATGGAAGAGGGTTAACGTAAATGCCAAGTCAGCACTGGGACAGGGTAACCCTGTGAGCACTTATCAATGTGTTGTGGCTTAGGTTTTACATCTTGTCACTGATTCATCGAGTACTGCATCTGTCTGTCCTTCCCGGTGCCTGTCCTGTACTGAGGATCTTCTCTGAGCCGGGCACTTAGCTGGGAAACCACGGCGATTTAGACTTGGTCCTTGGGCACAGGAAGCTC